AGCAGTCCCTGGCCTTCCAGCGTGTCAGAGAAGGGCAGCCCTCCTTCTGGGAGCCACAGGACTGGGTGCTCATTGAAAGGGCTGTGACATCTGTGAGGAGCTGCTACCTGGGGCAGTGAGACTCTCCATTTCCCTTCTGGAGCCAGAGCTGGCTTCAGGTAGGAGGACATCACTGTGGCATGAGCTGGCCCTAGGGGAGATGCTGCCTCATTGGGGATAATCCTACTGCTGTGAGGACAGCCTGGTTCACCTCTGCAGACTGTTGGCTGGAGGTGTGAGGGTTGTTCTGACACCCTACAGTGCTGTTGGTAAGGGATTATGAAGGTGCAGGGGGTTAGCTGAGGCGGAAAAGTTCCTTGGGCTGTCATGGTCAGTGGAAACACACTGCAGCCCCGGGAGAGGCTGTCTTTGAGCTGCTGCTGCTGGGGGCTAGATGGGCAGACATCCTGCAGTTGGGAGCCCTGGCAGGCTGGATCCACAGCCTCCACCTCACCTTCTCCTTCAGGTAGCTGCAGAGCTGTGCAGCAGCATGTGGTCATCGTGTGGGACCAGCCCTGTGCTGAGCACCCACCCACACCATAGGGCTGTGCACAGAAGGAAGGCCACACACCTGGCAACAAACAGGCAAACAACCACTTTGGCATCCTCCTAACGAGGGCCATATCCTCTGGAGGGATGTCCCCAGCAGCCCTGCAGCTCCTTTTTGCTACAGACAGCATGAGCTGGCACCAGCTTCACTGAGGAGCACCCAAACCCATGCTCAGAGCAGCCTCCACAGCTCCAGCACCCCCTGCCTGGTACTGCATCCTGCCCAGCCCACTCTGCTGGGAACTGAATTGGCCCATCCTCCTGGTTCGTCCCAGGTCTAAAGAAAGCTGGGAAGGTTCCCAACAGTCAGAAGTGCTCCTGTGCTTGGATGTGCCCTGCCAGGCAGAGCAGCAGCAGTGCTTTTGAAATGCTGGTACTGCCTGGAGTCAACTATGGCTCCTATGCTCTTCCCACCAAATTGCCACAGAAGGTGCAGAGGGTTTGTGAAGGGAAGGGGAAGGAAGGGAAGAGAAGGGAAGAGGCAGGTTGAGTGGCTGAGGTGTGGTGTAGCCTGTGTAGGGGTGGTGTCAGGCAGCAGCTCAGCGTTCTTACTGCTGCTGTTAAAGCCCTGTGGGAGAGGGCACAGGTGAGGCACAGCAAGAACAGTGTCCTTTGGAGGCAGTGCAGGGATCTCTCCTTAGCATCTGGATGCTGTTACATATTCTTTACCAAGCAGCATATCCTAATTCGATGGCATCCTGATGTTGTTCTTGCCTTACTCTGAGGTGTTTCCCTTGCTTGAGCAGGTCTGCTGCAAAGTGCTCTATGTTGGGATTACTGATGCAGTGCCAAATCTGCTGGTGGCATGTGTGTTTCTGCATACCACTCTCTTTCCAATGGGGACCTGAGGTCATTCTCTCCAGGCTGCAGTGGGGAGCTGAGCCCTGCCAACAGTGATGCTGCCTGAATCGGTACTCGGAGTGTGGGCATGAGATGCCACATACAGAGAGTGCCACGAGCCTGCTGCCTGCTTGGGGCTCTGTGTGTGAGGGTTCCTAGAGTCTATGTTTGTATGAACAGCAGGAGTTCAGTTGGTGCCCAGCTGAACAAGGGTCATGGTTCCTCTCCTTGTACAAGATGCTTCTATGCTCCTGTGGGCCAGGAAATCTTACTCCCATGTCAGGATTAGCTCTGTCAATTATGCCCCACAAAATGTGCCAGTATCTGTTTCACACACACATCCCCAGCCCCATGCTTCAATGCCACTCAGCTTGCTCTGCCCTTCTGCAGCACTGGACAACTTATTCTTCAAGCTATTGCCCCAGAAGGGTAGAAACAGGCAAAAGTTACCAGCTCTGCCCCATACTGTACTGAGGTTTGAGTCACTGACCAGGCTCGGGGTGCTGTGTCCTGCACACAGCCGTGTGGCTCCCGCCCTCCTCGGGCTGCAGGTGCCTGTGTTGGGCTTCAGCTGCAGCCACCATGTAGGTGATCTGTTTTATTCCCTGCACTTAGCTGTAGCAGTCAATCAAACCATAGGCATTTGCCAGGGCTGTACAATAGGCTAATAAAGGACACTGGATTTTATTTTCTTTGTCAACAGATTTGTAAATACGGATCAGTGAAGCAGCCTCTCCTCCGTTCTGATAGTAGTAAATACAATCTCCATGGTTGTCTGTTTTGTGAATTGTCTTTTCTGTGAATTTCTGAAGCATGACTGTCTGCCTGGAGCAGCAGATTTCAGCCTGGATGTCAATGTTCATGAGTAACATTTGGGAATCAGCATGAAGTAAGCACTTGGAGACCATGCTGGGGGCTGGTTCTGTTTACAAGAACCTAGTACAGGACACTCAGTGGAACATGGAAGAGAACAGGTTAAAACAGATAAATGCCAATACTGCTTCACACAGGATCTTCTGGAGCCTTTCAGGGTCATGAAGGTATGAGAGAGAGAATTCACTCCAAGTCCTCTACATTGGAAGATCGCCAGGCTCAGTGGTTTTGGCACGCCCGGTGCCTTCTGCATGGCACTGTGGTTCTAAGTCAGGTGGCTTTGCTCCCGTGCTTGATTCCAGGTTCTGCTCTTCAGATGCTCTGAGGAGTCCTTGTCCTGGTTCCATATCCTGCCTTGAGGAAAGCGTCTGGGATGGTTGTGGCTGTTCGGTGGAGACCTTTCCCTTGGTGTCCTTGCGGCTAGAGTCTTCATCAAATTGAAAAGATACAAAGGATTTCGAGGTGCAAGGAACACTCTCAACAGCTTCTCCGGTGAATTTGACCACGTTCATGCGTGAATGTGCCCTGTCTGAAGGAGCTATTTCAGCTTTCTTGGATTTGTCAGTCTGGGTGACTCTTTTGGGAACAGGCTTTCTCTTCCTCCTGGCTGCTGGCCCTCGCCCAGATTTGGATGTGCTGGATGCCAGATGCTCCCCCAAGCTCTCCAACATCACTGCTATGAGCTCTTCGGCCACCACTCTTACTTGCTGCTGGTGATCTAGAGAAGTCTCCGAAGGCTCTCCTCTCCTGCAGCCGCCGAAAACTCTTTCTGTGATTCTCCGGGCAAATCTCCTTAAAAAGCCAACATCCTGATCCTGGGGAAGCCTCAGCCTCTCCAACACTTTTTGCAGCTGAGCCTCAACCTGCGCTTCGAGATTCTGGACTTCTGCTGCGCTCAGTGACTCAAGTGCAGCTTTGAACCGGCCATCATCAGTGACATCAGCCCTCCCGGGCAGCTTGGCGCCTTTCCGGTGCTTACGTCCGAAGCGGGTTTGGTCCGTGGCCAAAGCTGCTCTCCTTCTGCATCTCTCTGATTTCAGGAAGACCTTCCCCCACTTGGCTGGAGGCAGCCAAGGCGGTTTGCGAGTCTGCAGACGCCGCTGTGCCTGGTGGTCAGTGTTGGCCGCTCCCTGCAGTTTGAGGCCACCCTTTGATTTGGCCAGGAGTGGTGAAAATCTTTCCTGAAAGGTGACACCAGGTTGTGGCTCACCGTTCCCTG